GATTAGAACTCCAAGAATCCTCCAGCCATCACATGCATGGGAGTTCTTGTCCAGAGAAGCTGGCTTTCAACTGTTTTCAAAGGCTGATTGGGGAATTGTAATCCAAAAAGGAACTCTTCCAAGCTCTGGTTGTTATATAGGATAGAACAGGATATAGATATATAAACTGAGCATGATCATAACTTGAAATGCTTTAAATATGTGCAGCCTACCCCACCCCACATGTTAATGTATTCCTTTGTCAACACAGCATCTCTTGCTAAGCAAGAAAATTAGATGGTGCATGAACTGCTCTACCAGATGGCTGCACAGAATGAAACAAAGCAGCAGCAGCAAAAAAAAAAAAAAAAAAAAAAAGCCTAAAAACCTTGCCATAAGGGTATAGACTCAACAGAATACACTCCCCCCCCCCACACACACACTGTGTTAAGTGACTTTTCAAAATTCTTGCAGTCTTTGCTAAGGGCAGATGTGACTGGCATTTTCTTCATCTTATTCTTTGCTCTTTTCTCTTTTTTGCACAGAATGTCTTTAGTAGCCATCTTTTTCATTGATGGTAAAAAGCATCTGTATATTCAGTTATCTTAAACAAAAACACATGTCTAGTTTTCAGCTGAAACATTAAAGGCTAGACTTACTGTTTGTATGTTTTACCATGAAGATTTAGGACAGCTGTTCGATCATGAAATAATGTTTATTTGTCCAAACCTCTATGACATTCATCTTTCTTTTTTCTGAGCTTTTATTGATTTTAACATAATAATGATCTGTCATGCCCCTCTGTAACCCTAACCCAAGCATTAAATGACAGGCAAACAGTATGCCTTACTTTATGAGTCAGGATGCATCTACACCAGGGGTCCCCGGACTTTTTGATCTGGGGTTCGGTTTGCTGGCCCCCAGATCTTCCGGGGGGCTGGAGATGCACACGCATGCACACGACTCTGGACGCCATTTTGGAAGACAAAATGGCATCCAAGTAGTGTGCATGCGTGTGCGACTCCGGATGCCATTTTGGAAGCCAAAATGGCATCCAGTGGTGGGCGCGAGCGGCGGCAGCATGAACGGCGGCGGCAGTGGTGATAACGGCGGCAGCGGTGGGCTGGTAGGAAGGCCTCGGCGGGCCAAGTCCGGCCCATGGGCTGTAGTTTAGGGACCCCTGATCTACACTGTAGAAATGATGCAGTTTGACATCACTTTAACTACCATGGCTCCATCCTACAGAATCCTGGGATTTGTAGTTTTGTGAGGCACCTACACTCTTTGGCAGAGAAGGCTAAAGACCTTATAAAACTACAAATTCTAGGATCCTACTGGATGGAGCTACAGCACTTAAAGTGGTGTCCAACTGCATTATTTCTACAATGTAAATGCAGACTTGGTCAGAACCCAAGTGAAAATAGTAATCTTCCCATATGAACCTGCCCAAGTCTTGTGATATTTGAGGAGGACTTACTTTCCATCCCAGCACCCTCACAGGGATCATCTGGTGAGGACATGGAAGAGAGCTTTCCTCATGGCTGCTCCAAGGCTATGGCACTTGCTCCCAAGAGAAGCTCAGTTGGACCCCTATCTGCTCTCTTTATGATAGGTTTGCCTTAGGGTTGCCATAAGTCGGAAACAACTTGAAGGCACACAACAAAAACAACAAACATCTTCTTATTCATAAAGACCTTCGGCCTTTAACTCAATGGTTCCTACCCCTTTCTATTCCCTACACCCCTAGGAAATGTTTGATTAATGTTCACACCCCCTGCAAAAGTAATATCCCATTTGAAGATGAAGAAGTCTAATTTCTAATTTTTTGAATCTCATATCATACTACGTGCCAACAAATTGAACTTTTAAAAAACTCCATCTTGTACCTCCTGGGGGTTCACAAACTGATAGTCCTAATGAGGAATCTGTACTCAGGACAAGAAGCTACTGTCAGAACACAACACGGAGAAACAGAATGGTTCCCAGTTGGCAAAGGGGTCAGACAATGCTGTATCCTTTCACCCTATCTGTTCAACTTGTATAAGAAAAGCAAGCTTGGACACAAAAGATGGAGGATCACAAACTGGATTTATAATCTTCTAACTGTTGGGTATTCACATTTGCAGTTGTGAATGACCAGACATACCGTAACCCTAAAATCTAGCTTTGCAGCCTGGCAGCACCCCAACCGAAACATTTCTGAGGCATTGGGGAATGGTGTCTGCAGTGCATTCCCAGTCTGAGGGCACATGAGACTCCAAGGGATCTTTGCAGCTGTTTGTTCTCAACAGTGTTGACAAACAGAAGGGTTTGTGATATGTTGCTTGTTTTTGGTTCACTTTGGCTGACATCTGCACTGTAGAAATAATGAATTTGGACACCACTTTAACAGTCATGGCTCAATGCTATGCAATCCTGTGATTTGTAGTTTTGTGAGATATTTAGCCTTCTCTGACAGAGAGCTCTGGTGCTGGGACAAGCTACAAATCTCTGTATTCCATAGCACTGAACCATGGCAGTCAAAGTGTTGTCAAACTGCATTATTTCTGCAGTGCAGATCAGACCTAAGTTAGCCCACTTCCCTCAGTGGTGTTGAAGCATGTCTAGATAACTTGTCTTCATGGAATTAGGGTTGGGACAAACTTGTCTCTGCCTCTGAGATTTGTTTTTCTGCAGAAAACTGCATTTCCTCAAGCCCTCTGCAAGTGAAGGCACAGCCATTGGGAACCTGTAGTGGAGACATACTCTAATTTTTTATCCAAAATGGAGGTCAGTACACAGCTTCTCTTTTAAGATGACCTGAATAAAATAAGCCACAACAGAAGATCAAAGGGAAATTCAGTAAAGGAAAGTCTACTTCTGTAAGGCTTTGGATGTTAAAGGGTGGGCGTGATCTTAACATCAAGCATTTAATTTTTCTTGTTGCAGAGATAGCTCTAGGCATCTGCTTTGAATTCTTTTCATTATGATTTGGCTTCCTCACTCATTTCCAGTGATGGCTTGAGTTCTGTAGGATGTTCATTCTGTGGCAGTAATGAACAAAGGCCTCCTGTGAACTGATGGAGTCATAGGAATAAGAGTTAAAAATACATATTTTTGATGCCAGCTAAAATTCACAACACTGTCTACATTTAAGGCAGAGATCTTGGACAGATCTCTAGCCCTGACCATTGCAACTTGCCATTTTTTTTTCATGAACAAAATGTCCTTCAGTAAGAAATATAAGCCAAAATGAGACTGGGATAGTGCTGTCCTTCACACAAAATAATTTTGTAAAGGTTATGATATTTGGTGATGGTTAACAAGGACCAAAATTGCCGAAAGGCACCAGATCCTGTTTGATCTTGGAAGCCAAGCAAGGTCAGCCCTGGTTAATACTTTGGTGGGAGACCACCAAGGAATACCAGATGCTGTAGGCTATATTTCAGAGGAAGGAACTGGCAAAACCACATTTGAGTATTCCTTGCCTAAGAAAACCCCCTGAAATTAATTGGGTCGCTATAAGTTGACAGGTGACTTGAAGGCACATGCATACACACACAAGAAGAGAGCAATCCTTTATGTTAAAATCATTGTTGGAGCAACTCTCCAATGGTCTCCTATTAATACTGGTAATCTTGACAAGTAGTAAAAAACAGAGCCTTCTTAATGTTGGCTCCTGCTCTGTGGAACCCCTCCCTAAGAAATGTATGGTGAGCTCGCTTATTGTTGTTTTTATGTTTGTTTGTTTTTAAATGTAACTAGCTTTCTTTGGCTCTTGAGCTTTTAAAATTATATGTGCTATTTTTGTTATTTGACCCATTTTACAATTGGTCTTAAAAATTAATGCAAAAGTTTAAGAAGTTCTTATATTGGTACTCTACATAAAGCTGCAGTATTAAGAGACCAACATGTTTGTTCACATCAGACTATGGACCTTATCACACGTGGCCCACAAAGCGATAATAAAGTGAAATAAGAATAAATCCAGTAACAAACCGAAAGAAACCCCACAATACGCAAATGGCTATCACACGCCATTACCTTCATCGTGCTTTTAAGGAAAGCACTCCCGGGAACCGTATTTGCCGTTCACACACAAATGAGAAAATCCCGTACATAACCAAGCAATGATGTTCTTGCACATGTGCAATACAGCCGCGGCTGTCACTTGCTGCGGATGTCACCCCTTCCCAAGCCAGCTCTCTGAGGAGGTCCTCCTTGGAGCACAGGCCCCGTGCAGGGAATGATGGGGAAATGCTCCTCAATACTTATTTGGTGATCAGACTTTACAGCAAAAGCGAAATGATTTCTGCCGCGCAATTGCAATTCCCCAAGAAAC